AGTACCTGCCCGAGGTCCTGGATAGACTGTGCCAGCCCAGCTGGCCGCCTTCCCGTAGCCTCGGGGAGCTGCACATGGCCGGGTCCTGGATTAGCTCTCCGAGCGCCCCTGGTGGGCCTCGGAACTGGCCCCTGGCCTCGGCATGGCAGGTGTCTTGGGGTGGTCTGAGGCCACTTCAGCCAGGGCACCTGCGGTGGCTCTCCCAGCTCCTCCCACCCTGCCCCCCAGGCTTGGCCTGTACCCCACCTTGCACTGCCAACCCCATGGGGCTGATCCTTCTTACGCCCCCTTAATGCCCATGATAACCTTACTTAGCTCCAGGTCAGCTTCAGAGAGGGCATGAGCAGGCCTCGTCAGGGCTGGCCCTGGTGGTGATCAGAGGGTGACTTTGTTTCCCCAGTGTCCTCTGGCTCCTGGCATGCTGCCACCTCTGAGACAATGCATGCCATGCACACTCACAAACACACCACCTCACTGCCTTGACCACCTCCTGTGGCACCTAGGTCCCTGGGGAGGTCAGGACTGGGGTGCAGGGGCTGACCCAGGAGGTGTGTGAGGACTGCCCAGGACAGGAGGTGGCCCCAGGCCGCCAGCTCAACCCCTACCATGGAAATAGAGACCAGAGATGGAGAGAGAGCCAGGTCCTCAGCAAATCTGGGGCCAGAGCGGTGGGAGGACACCACACCGGGCACACAGAGTGGCTTCCTGCCCCCTGCCCACACCAAGGCAGCTGGCTCCCCCCTATGGAGTTCCCAGAGCCCCAGCACAAGAAAGGCCTCCTCTTCCACAGGATACAGGGGCCCCTAGCCTACTCCCCGCTGCTGCGGCTGCACTGGGTGAGTTGGGGGGCAGCCCTAAGGAGACTGTCAGGTAAAGAGAAGAAAGCCGGGGTGGGAGGTCCCCTGGGGAGAGCTGGGAGCTCCCGAGGCTAGGCTGCTGGGCCTAAATGCACGATTTCCAGGGTGACCCTCTCACTGACAGCAGGCCAGGCATGCCCTTCACAACCAGTAAAAACATCACACAGAGACAACCAGCCAGGCTTCCGGTAACCGAGTGGCACCCGGTTCCTGGACCTGGGCAGAGGCCCTGGAGCTGGGGGCTCCCATGGGGACCCCTGCCCCATTCAGCCACCCCATGATTCTGTCACAAGACACATGTTCCCTCAGGTGCCCAAATGGCCCCTTGATGACCTGAGGGCTGAGTGCGAAGTGTGAGTGCAGAGGCACCTCAGGGACATGGCGAGCCCGGCCTTGATGTTTGATAGGCAGCCATGGCCCTGGTGTTCTAACACCATGGGCTGGGGAAACGCCCCGGAACAGTTAACCTGCTGCCACTCACCCTAGACGGGCAGGTTGAGCAAGTCCCCTGGAGACCGTCGCCCTGCACAGCCTGCTGATTGGTGCCGGGGGCTCAGCCCCCGACCAGCTTAGCGCCCGCTCTCCCGAGAAAGCAGACCAGGTGGCTCATGGACAGAGACCCTCTATCACATGGTTAGGCAAAGAAGGAGGCTTCTGCTCTCAGCCTGCCCGCTGGTCCTGCTTGGTCCACTGTCCCCACAGAGTTGTAGTCTCTGTGTCCCCTGCTTAGGCCTCGAGGGGCCGGGGCAGGGCCAATCTCGCATGCCTGTGAACAGTCGTGCAGAGCACCTGCTCTGCCCAAGATCTTAAACATGCCCAATGCACAGTGAGGCCCGCTCCATGACCTGCTCTCCCTGCTGCTCCCTGCAGCCCTGCCTGGGTAGGAGCCGAGGGAGGACCACTGAAGGGCCATGGAGCTCTCTCTGACCTTCCTCCTCTCCCAACTCCTGGCCCAGTGCGAGCCTCCTCATTAGCTGCTAATTGTGCTCCGTGCCAGGCCTCCCAGGGCTGTTGCCGGATCACACCTGTTGACAAGATGTGGCAGCCCCGGTGGGAAGATGTCCGGTGTTGATTACGGTGCTAATGATGTGCTCATTGCCCTCAGTAATTCCCCAAATAAAACACTGTGTCTGGGATGCAAATCTTGCTTATAAAACTGGGGGCAAGTGGTGGTAGTGGGGGGGTGGGGGCAGAGGACAACGGTAGCTCAGGCTCAGGGCCAAATCGTCCAGAAGACCTGAGAGTAAAGATTCCCTTGTTGTAGGAGACCCCCTAGCTGGCCCCCCACACTAACAAACTAGCCCCTGCTTTACAAAAAAAAATGTGGGGGTGGGTTTTGAAAGGTGAGAGCCACTAGGACAACCGTGGGCAAACTACGGCCCGCGGGCCGGATCCGGCCCGTTTGAAATGAATAAAACTAAAAAAAAAAAAGACCGTACCCTTTTATGTAATGATGTTTACTTTGAATTTATATTAGTTCACACAAACACTCCATCCATGCTTTTGTTCCGGCCCTCCGGTCCAGTTTAAGAACCCATTGTGGCCCTCGAGTCAAAAAGTTTGCCCACCCCTAGTGACTAGGGTGAGTAGGAGGCCAGCCCTGTACTCAGAGGGTTTCACCTGACTGTGTCCAAGCAGGCAGGAGCTCAGGGACCCAGCCCCCTCCCCATTCCTCTCACCTGGCTGTGCCTGGGCCCCCAAACTTAATACAGGCAGTTCTCAGTAGCTGATCCCAAAGTGCTGGGGGCAGCAGAAGGAAGCCCCCTCCCCTGTGGTCCCGGCTGTGCCTGATGGGGGGCCTCTCGGTGGGTCCTGTGGGCCTCACCCTGGATGCAGTCCTCCTCCTATAGTTCAGCCATGCAGAGCAGGGGAGGAGCAAACCCCACTCCCATCCAATTCCTTTGGGGTCTTAGACCCACAACACAGTAACAGTGGAGAATGCAATAAGCGTTTTGAAATCCCATGTTTAGGAATCATTTGTTTTGGAAAATACAAAATAGCTTTTATTGTCCCCCACCCTGGGTCATTTTACACCGGCTAGCTGCCCCAGAGAGGCATCTGCTAGCCCAGCCCTGGCTCTGCAGCACAGACAGGAGGGCATGGCCCGACTGTGTCCCCTCCATCCCACCAGCCCCCTGAGGGCCAGCCCAGCCCAGCTGGGAGGTGAGCTGCAACCTGGTGAGATATATCCCATTATGTAGCTGTCCTCCAGCCCCTGAGGATCCCATAAAAATCTAGACATGTGGCTGTGGTGGGCTGAATGGTGCCCTCAAATATGTCCAACCAGAATCTATGAATGGGAGTTAATTTGGAAAAAAGTTTGTGTGGATGTAATTAAGTTAAGAATCTCTAGATGAGGTCATCTGGATGAAGGTGGTCCCTAAATCCAATTGTCCTTGTAAGAGAAGACACACAGGAGTTGTATGACCACGAAGGCAGAAACAAGAGTGACACTGCCCCAAGCCTAGGACCACCTGGAGCCTCCAGACGCCGGACACGGAGAAGGATCCTTCCCCGGGCCTTTGGAGGGGCACAGCTCTGCCCACACCATGACTTCAGACTGCTGGCCTCCAGAACGGAGAAAATAAATTTCTGTTGTTTTAACACCCACCCTCCACCCCAGTTTGTGGTCCTTTGTTACAGCAGCTCCAGGACACTAACCCAGGGCCAATCCCTTGGAGGGTGAAACTGACACCAACCCACAGGAGGGGTTAGGCAGCTCTATAGGCTTGGTGGAAACCATACTTGCGCCCACTCCGTGGCAGCTGGTTGACTTTGGGCAAACCTGTGGGCACATCGGAGCAGAGGCCGGGCTCTGCACCTGTTTCTGCTCAGGTAAATGGGTGCCCACACACAGTCACAGCGTCACAGCAGCTGCAGGGGCCAGCCGGCCGACCTGGCCACAGGAGCTGTGGCCCTCCATGGGTCCTCAGCTGGCCCTTGAGTACCGACCCCCACCCAACGCGTGCAAACTCTGGTATTGCACATGGGAAACGCACGGTAAATACTCGCTAATGATGATGATGAAACAATCTGCAAAATGTGCGAGCAGGCACACAAGAGGCGAGGCATAATGTTGGCTCTAGAGCTTGGGGACCCAGTCACGTAGGCACTCCTACAGGGATGGCTGGACCAACGGTTTGAGCCTGGACAGACCAAAATGTACTACTGCCTGGCCTCTTGGGACCACCGTGGGCCAGCTAAGTTGAGCAGCAGCCTCTAGTCCCCTCGTTTTTTAAAATCCTCACCCAAAGATAAGTCTGTGTGTGTGTGTGTGTGTGTGTGTGTGTGTGTGTGTGTTTAAATATGTTTTTATTGATTTCAGAGAAGAAGGGAGAGGGAGAGATAAAAACACCAATCATGAGAGAGCATCATTGATCAGCTGCCTCCTGCACACCCCCTACTGGGGATCAAGCCCGCAACCGGAATCAAACCTGGGACCCTTCAGTCCATAGGCAGACGTTCTATCCACTGAGCCAAACCGGCTAGTCCCCAAAGATACATTTTTATTGCTTCTTGGAGAAAGAGGAAGGGAGAGAGACAAGGAGAGAAACATCAATGTGAGAGAGAAACATTAATCAGTTGCCTCCCATATGCGCCCAGACTGGGGATGAAACCCACAACCTCAACCAACTGAGCCACCCAACCAGGACTAGACCCCTCATTTTTTAAATAGTTTTACTGAGATATCAGTTCACATATTATAAAATTTGCCCATAAAAATTGAGATCTATCTTGCGTCCCTACATGTCAAACTCCTCCCCTCCAGCGTTGGGGGAACTGTAACCCCCATCCCCAAATGGAGACCATCCTTTGCCCCACAGTCAAAGCCCAAGCGCCCTCCACTGTAAATCCTTTCCATCACGCCCCCAGCACTTTGGGATCAGCTACTGAGAACTGCCTGTATTAAGTTTGGGGGCCCACACCAGTGTAATGGATCCTGGTCCTGCCCCAACCCCAACAGCACTCGTTACCGTCACAAATTTTTTGCAAACCTACTTTGGGGCATTTCGGTGAAACTAAGTTTTTTTGTGCTCCACCGGTTATAATAACTAGTGGGATCGTTCCGGTTCCAGGCATCACGTCTCAGACCTTGCTCAGGTACAGCCAGGACAGGGGGACAGGTGTTGCTGGGAAGCCTACCTGGGGCAGCTGCTGGCAAATGTCCTCTCCTGGGAGACAAAAGGAGTGGTTGCCGGGCTTGAAGAGGTCGCACCAGCAGGTGGTCTCGGCTCCCTGGATCGTGAAGTAAACCCACAGGCAGGTGCAGGAGTTACCAGGTAGTGGTTGACATCAGGGCAAGAACCCCAAGAAGCGCAGGCGCCCAGCCTGGGCGGCCCCCCCAGAAAGTCGGGATTACCACCAACACTCTGGGGCTGAGCCAGCTGGGGCCCGGGGACGGGCTCGATCACTGGAGTTTTCTGCAAAGCCCTAACAAAAAGTGACAATTAAATGTATAACTGTCCCTGACCGGTTTGGCTCGGTGGATGGAGCGTCGGCCTGCAGACTGAAGGGTCCCAGGTTGATTCCAGTCAAGAGCATGTACCTTGGTTGCAGGCACATCCCAGTAGGGGGTGTGCGGGAGGCAGCTGATCGATGTTTTTCATCGATGTTTCTAACTCTCTACCCCTCTCCCTTCCTCTCTGTAAAAAATATATTTTTAAAATATGTATCACTGTACGTGGCACGTTTAATAAGTGGTTTAAGAATTGGGTTCGACAGCAGCAGTCCTGTTTCTGGTTTTTAAATCTTACAGGCAAATGGAGTCTTCCCAGGCCGGTCTCCAAATAGCAGGAGAGGGTGCGGAGGCCTCCCAGGAGCTCCGGGGCCGCCCAGACCCAAGGCCCTGCACCGAGCAGCGGAGAGGGGGCACCGCTCCCGTCGCCGTCCCTTTCCTTTGCTTCGGGAACTGGCGCTCTGCGCGCAGGCGCCTCCGAGTTCTCGGGCTGCCGGCGAGG